TAGCAAAGGAAGAGACAATGAGTAGAAAGAATCCCATAAACCCTAATGCAATTTTTTTCTTTGCGAAAAGTTAGACTCCTCGTCACAATCCATATTTTTATGTTGCTGGGTAAATGAACTTCTAAACAATCTTCGAACAAATCAAGGCCCCTCAAAACAAGGACGGCTTCCAGCCGCTAAGTGAACGGTCCTCGGTAGTATAGTGGTGAGTATCCGCGTCTGTCACATGCGAGACCCGGGTTCAATTCCCGGCCGGGGAGAACTTTTTTGATTTCATTTGCCGACATTTTTATCACTTTGAATGCGACGTTTTTGCCCCAGATATGCTATAGGCGTTCATTTTGAGACCAAAAAATCTTTATTTTCACATTTCTCAGTTAATTAGTGAGATAAAATGAATCTTCGAACTTTTTCTTGAGGCAAGTAATCATAATCGTTAGATCTCAGCTCAAGATGACCTCCTCACAATTTCGCATTTTTCTTTGAAATTTCAGGTTAATGACTAGAATAATGAAAGATCTATTTCTTTGCACTTTTTCAGTCGAATCGAGAATGGATGGCGGACAATTGCCAAATAGCTTGTGGAAGTTGCCGACGAGGTTTGTTTTCCTTTCCAAACTTGTCAATTTTTCAACAAAAAGCCGCCTAGATTGTTGCCTAGGCGTAATGGAAGTGTAACCTCGTTCCATTTCTAATAGCTTTCCGTTTCGTCACCATTTTTCTTCCGGCTGAAACAATCAGATTCGCCCGATTTTTATCGCTTCATTTCATCTTTGACATCGTTACAAGGTTAGATGGCGGAAAGGTGTAAACTTATAACTTCGCTGTAATTTATTAGTTCCGTAGAACTAGTAAGCGGATCAGATTAGATGGCGAAAGAGACGCGAAAACTTTCACGTGAAACTCTAACCTTGCAGGGAAAAGTTTCAAAATTTCAGGCCCCGGCCGAGCACCCCGTCCAGGGGGTAATAGGCTGCCTAGGCCCGGTACACGAGGACGAAGACCGATGTCGAGTCCTCGGAACCCGGGTCCGGGTCCAGTAGCACGAACCCGTCGACCGATACAATCTAGAAGGCCACTAGCAGCGAGACCTCAACGACCAACCTCTCCTAGGGTCACTTTCAAAACGACACAACCGTTCGCCAGAACGACTAGGGTCCGAACAAGGCCACCAACACCGAGGTATGAAGAGAAATTTTCGTTGGAGGGCTTTGGAAGAGGCGAAGAGGAAGGGAAAAAGATTTTTTGTAGGAAAACTACAGTACCAATTGAAAAAAAAACCAAAATTTCCGTAAACGTCGCGGTCGGCAAAATTCCCTGGAGCTCCGCGAAATTCCCTGACAATCCCTGAATCGCGCGATTTTCGGGGAATTCCGCGGAATTTCTCCGATA